TTTTTGGTAAATTATAATTGAAAGTTACAGCCTTACTGCTAATTTTGAAATATATATGAAAGGTTGTTGTTGTTTTAAAACAAAATTACGCTCAAAAAAAGAACAAAAACAACAATAAAATAAATAAAATAGATGTTTTCCTAATATATAGGCCAATGGAGGGAAAAAGAAAAGAAAATTTTCAGTTTGGCCCCATATTTTGTTACCGTCAGAATTTCGTAAAATAATAGAAGTACTGTGATCGAACCAGAATCTACTTGTCAATTTTTCTAAAGTAATTCGGGACTCCATATTAGAGAAACGTAAATAAATTCTATTTTTGGCGAAGTGCCGGTTTGTCTAGAAACTCTTTTATTTTGATTTTATCTGAATAAATATTGATGAACATTTACTGTTTTTTTATGTTGGATCCCTGTAATTGAACCTTAACTATAGAAGCCAAAATTGAATTTTTGGCCACGCAATTATCTTGAAATTTTATATTTAAATTTTAATAGATAAAATTTGAATTTATAAATTTAAGGCCATACCAGTACTCCAAGACCAATTTTTAAATTTTGATCGTATCTGTAGAAATAATATTGTTAACGGAGTTTTCATAAGTAATTCGATATTTGAATCCAATTTGCGGCATTTCAAGGAAAATTGAGATCTAAAACTAAACCCGCATTTATATGGTATACTTTTCATTAGTACCTCGTATATTTTTTAATTACCTCGAAATCACAAATTTTCTAAATTTTTTTAAATTCTAAATGAGTGTATAAAAATTATTTCCCAAACTTTGTGCAAATGCAAGACTTTTGTTAAATTCATGATAACAGCTTTATTAAAATAAATTATTTTGAAAATAAATATCGCATAGTCGCGTATGCTCTGACCACATCGAATTTTTTGTGCTTTGCAAGTATGTATGTATATATACAAAATTCTATTGTGATTTTGTTTTTTTCTCTTCATAAGCGTTAATTTGGCAAGAGAAAGAGAAGCTTCTAATGAAAAATTTCAGCAATTTACATTTTGAACCAGAAAAATTTTTGCGTTAAATTAGCATAAATCTGCAATAAAATTGTAAAATTGTTTTCACTTTTTTTTTCTCCTTCACTCTTGTTATGATTTTGTATCTAATTTATGAATTATAATTTTTTGTTCTTGTGGCTGTTCTTCTCCCTTTTTGGTTTTTCTCGTTAAAAAGAGGCAAGGTTGAAATGTTAACCTTGATTTGGATATTGTGTACTACATTCATGTATGCAAAACACATAAAATTAATAATGAAAAATTGTTCTATTTATTAAAAATATTTTATTTATTAATCAGCTTTATTCCATTAATGTTAACCATGCAAATTAATTTTTTTGTATTTAAAATTTCACATGAACGTTGAATTGTAAAATTATTTGTGTAATTTCTTAAAATACTGCGTATTTTTTTTTATATTTTCAAACTAAAATTTTAGTATCCAAAAACAGATAGTAGTTAAATGTATAATAAAGATCTTCGATCTTCAAAACTTTCTTCTTTAACTCACCTTATCTCTAAATGTTATAATGTACCATACCCGGCTATTATGTTTCACTTACATTGTCTTAAAGGCCAGTAAACAATCAGAGTGATTGTTACAGATTCACTGCATTCACACCGATAAAAATTTCACAAAATTATGCCCGTAGCAAAAGTGGTACAAATTGCTTCCTTTCAAGCTCAATATCATCACCAAGTGTCCATTTTCCAATGAGAGTTTACAAGTTTAGAGATTCTTTCATAATTTTCTTTTAAGTAAATTAAAACAAAATAGCACAAAAATGAGTCATATATGGCTCCCAGTTGACTCATGAATGAACTTTTGCATAAGTCCGCATTTTTGGCCATATATTTTCAATAATTAATTTCATGTGTACGTTTATAAAATTGTAAATATTGGATGACATTTAAAGTTAAAGAAAAGATGTTGTAAAATATAAATTCAATTAGACTTTAATAAAATAGCTGTACAAAGACTTACACGCATTAAAAATATACCTATGTACATACTTGCCTATAAATAAATACTGTTTCGAATATTTGTAATTAATGCTAGATTGTCTGGATTTGTTTTATTTTCTAGGAATTCTTGATTTTAATGAAAAAGTTCCAAAATGAAAAACAAGTAAAATAAAAATCAATTATTTACTTTATATACAAGTGTAACAATAATTATAATGGAATTAATATAAGAAAATCAATAAAAGCACGATTAAGTGTAGGATGATTTATTAATTAAGATTTTATGATAATTTACAAGTAGGTAGGCTAGAACAATGAAATTATATAATCGAAAAATGAGGAGAGAAAACATTAAAGAAATTATTAATCCCACCTCAATTTTATAGTGAAAACAAAATTCTTCTCTATTTTTGAATATTTTTTTTTTGTTATAAAAATTTAATTTTCGTTTAATACTCCCATAAATCATAGATATTTATAGAAATATACTTACGTACATACATTATACCTATTTATAAATAATTTTAGGAATTTATTGCTTTAAAATTAAATTTAGGTATGCGACGTACCTTGAGGATGTTATGTTAATAATGAATCACAGCGCAATCAAAAAATTTCTATAAAAAATGAATAAATGTTTTGAGGTTTTTTTGAAATAAAAATTTAAGAAATTTTAAAAGATTGGATTACAAAGGATATTTCCAAATTTGAACGCTAATATTTTTTTGAAAATAAATTTCCGCTGTAAAAACACTCGGTAGCTTAATATTAGATATATTTTTTTTAATGTAACGACTTTCATTTAACCTTGACATTTTTGTATATAAAATCTTCAACGTCAATAGTAAGTTTTAGAATACGTTTTATTAAAATTTGAGACTTTTTTTTTTTTTTTCCTTTGTTCACTCCTAGAAGGAGCATAGGGCTAGTGCATGATTTCTCATGCAATAGTTTCATAGCGTCATAGAGTTTAACTAGGTAGGTGACTAGCCTGCCGTAGTTTTTGTTTATATAAATTATTTGAGGTTATTAATATTTACTGTTTATTTTTCTTAGTTTTTTTAATATCGAATATTACGAATATTTGAAAATTACTTGTATAATATTTATTAGTATTGTATATTAAGTTATAATAATATTAAATATAATTTTTATTGTGACCTGACCGGGGTTTGAACCCGAGATCCTTCGGTTAAAGGCCGGTGCCATAACCACTGCACCAATGCTCAGATAAAATTTGAGACGTAGTTCTTTCTAATGTCAATATTAAAGTTTAAACTATAAAATCTTTATTAATTTATTGTCAAAATTTAGTTTTGGATATTTGCGCGGATTAAAAAAGTAGTTAAGTGCCATGATATCGGATCGTAATGCATGCTAACGAAGCATTCAAAACGGAAAGAGTAACGGAGTTTTACGGAGATATAAAAAATAGTTAAAAGCTTATTTATAAACGCTTAATTGTTTTTTATCAACTGTGTACTACATACTATAAGTTGTATAATATATATAGCATTATTACAGAAAAGGAGAATCATTTTTAGGATACAAAGCAAAATATTTAGAGCATAAAACAAAATATTTTTCATTATTCTGATGCAGTTATAAAAAAAGCTATACTTTAAATTTTCGAAATTGAACTAGAGTAGCATCGGCAAACTGCATAAACCGATTTGCGTAATCAAGTCTATTAATATAATTTTAAAGACTAATAAGTAAGAAAACATATTAAAAGCTGTAAAGAATTACTTTAAATTTGATTTACGTGAAAGTACTATTTTAATATTTAATTCTAATCTATGAAGTTTTGTCTGATTGCCACATAGTACATGTATAATAAGAAGAGAAAATTGTAAAACAGAATAATAATAAACAGACAAAATATTTACATTTTATTAGGTAATCTTTGTATTTATTAAATAATAAAAATTCCTAATATTTTTATGATGAAGATTTTGCTCTCATCTATACGTAAGTCGTAAAAGTAAAGAACTTAACGTACTCTTCGTTATGCTCGTGAAATAAAATAAAAGAGTTTAATTATAAAAACAATTAAAATTTTTACTTAATTTTATAAATCTCTATTAATTCTCTATTTCTACATAATATGAATATTGCTAAACATTTAATTGAAATTGAATATATAGAACTTGGTTAACAAACAAATTCACTGAATCCGGAATCACTTCCTAACTTTAAATTTAGAAATTTCCGATTTGTTAATCGTCAAAGCTTTAACTTTTGGTTTCTTCATTTAATCTTGAATTCTTGATAATTTCCATTCTAAATGCTGTCGGAATTGTTTTCACACTTCTCAATTTTACCTCGAGAATTATGCTACAAATTATTATTGTAGATTTCGTTATCGAAAATAAAATCATGAATAAATAAAAATTCTGTAAGGAAATTATTTAATTCCTCAGCTGCTAACCATGTAGAAAGATAATCAGTTGTAATTTTTATGTTTAAATTTCCAATATAAGTGTAGTCAGGTTTTGCAACCATGAAAATCGATTTTGCTCGTATAGGTTAACTTGTTTGTATTTCACTTATAAAATAATTTTTTTTTACTTATTTATTTTCAAAATAATTCTTCAAAATGTTGAAGCGCACCTACTTATTTTTGAAATGGATTTTATAAAAATGTTATAACTAATTTTCAAAAATTACAAAAATCTGAACACCTTTACTAAACAACTAAAATTTTAAATTATCGCAAGATATTGATAAAGATATGTTGAAAATTTATAACTCCATTTTGTATTTTAACGTACCTCAACGTAAATTTTAATTTTGAAGGAAAAAACTTAAATAATTTTTTTCTTAATTGTTTTTTGTTATATTTGAGGATTTCATTTTAAGAGTTTTGAAATAAAACACGAATTACAGTTTGTACTCTCTATATAAATGATTTTTATAATTAATAATATCTTTTATTTTATGACGGCATTAACATTCCTTTTTATATTGTAATATTCTTTGTTTTATGATTTGTTTTTATTTTTATTTTTTTATAGGCGATCCTGTAATTTAGATTGTGGATCAGAAGGTTTATGTGATTTCATGGAAAATGATGCTGAAGACAATCAAAAGCAAATGCGGTGTTTATGTCCTTTTGGAAAAACTGGAAATGGATGTACTCAAGGTAAAATAAAATACTATTGTTTATTATTTTCCTTTTTCGTTTTAAAAGTGTTTATTATGGGGGGCCTCATATAATAATTTATGAGTTGATGTTAATATTCGTTATAAACTATTTGATAAAACATTTTTTATTTGAAAACATAAACGATGACATTAAACATCAAGTTTATTTTAAAGAAAAGTCAACAAATATAATTTTAATTGTATGACAGATATGTGATACAGATACGACTTGAATTAAAGATGAATTATTGCTTAATTTGTTGGTGTTACGGATCATTGAGCAAGAAATTCTGTAATATGGGATATTTGGATTAATTATAAGCCCATACAAGAATTTATCATTTTAACGTTTTTGTATACGATGAGGTAGGTTATGTGATGGCACCAAATTCCGGATTTTGAGTTTTCGGAAGGAAAGCGTAAATTCAGTATTTTTGGAAAGATGTTGGGCTGTGGGTTTTGCGGTTTGTATGTGCGTGTATCTCAAGTTCAGCGGAACCGATTTTGGTGAAGTTTTATATGTGAGTTTATTTTGTCCATTTCACAAATTAGGCTTTGGGGTATGTTACGCTTTGGGAACTGAAACATTTTGCGGGCCCATTTTACATTTTTTACAATATCTACGGAACGGATCGACCGAATTTCTTCAAATTTGATATTTAAGTTCTGGTTATTACCGAAACTAACTGGCGAAACTCTAACTGACGTTTTCAGGGAATTCCGATGGCACAAAGCGAAACTCTACTAATAACCGAATTTACATTTTTTTAGGTACGTTAACAAAAAGATTACTAATCCCCTAAAAATTTGAAAGTAGTGTGTAAAAAATATTTTCATAATCTTCTGCCAAGGATTGTTAATATTTTCATAATTGCCAAGAATTAATTTATGTTCGTAAATAGATTTTGCTATAATCTGGTTGGTTGTGGTTGGCTTAATTTTCGTAATATGGCGAAATTATTATAAGTAACGGAATTAAATCATATGAACTGTTTTGCAATATTACGTTAGCTATTGTTTTGCAGAATTACATTTTGTAAAATTTCCAGTATTTCAATCAGAAATAGCAGATTTTTTAAGTTATTAATTATTATTCAGAAAACAACATTTTTTATGTCTAAGGACTTATAAGTGCTTAAACAGCTTACTCGTTAATTTGTGTCTGAATTTACACAAACATGCATATCTTTAAACTACAATTCATTTAATTTCTTTTTAAAGAATGTGTAATGAGATTTATTCCTTTAATGGCATACTATATGGCATGCATTGCAGAATGGTTTGGCTACAACATCCAACTGTTATACGTTCTCGTGTAATGACAAAGTGTTTTCTCGTCTAATACAAAATTACTATTATTATACTATCATTGTTCATATTATTTCATTATTAAATTTTCCTTTGTTTTTTTATTATATGCTTTATATATTAATTTTAGATGTTTAATAATTTGTCAGCTGACATAGAAAAATAAAAATGTTAAAAATTACTCGTTAAAATAATGAATTTTTGCGTTTTCACACATACGACATTGCACTCTTGTAACCACAATTTTATGTGCTCGAACTAGATAATACATTTTTTATAATAAGTCCTTATGATAATATTAATATACATAAGTACATATAATATGATTGTAAGCAGAGGTCATACTCTAACCCTTGTCTATTATTTTTTTTTCTTTGCAATCCTCTGTATGCCATATTGTTAAGGATAATGATTTTTTTTTGTTTTTATTTTTTAGTTTTTAATAAAATATGAGTTGCTACTGAACTGTTTTTATGTGTTATATGAATAGAGAAAATTTAATGAAATATTCAAACGCGTATAAAAATATTCAGAATAATGAAATTTTAGTTTCTTTTGGGCTTTGGTATGATGAACACGTAGTCATTTTCTTATACTGCATAAGTAAATGTTTATGAAGACGCACAGGTATGAATAAATTATTTTTGAGTAAAATTATTTTTTTGTAACTAAAATCTGTTTTTGAATTTAATTATCCTTATGGAATGTCATGTATTTTGGTTTAGTTTTCATATAAAAAATATGTAGTATTTGTGCTGAATTAGCAATCACTTTCAAATAAGTAAACGGTTTATTAGTTTCGAAATACACGAGTATTTGGCTTCAATAGGCGGATTCAGTAATTTTATCTTATAAATAACGTATTTGTATTCAATTTGTATTTTACTTCTGTTCTCACTCAAAAATATATTAAATCTCTAATAATGTTACAACATAGGCCCTATTCTTAAATTTTCAGCTAAAAAGTCAGAATTAAATTTCTGAATATAAATTTCGAAATAATCATTTTGAAAATTTAAATGTGCAAATTATATTAAAGATACGTTCAAATTATAAATCCAAACGGCAATCTAATCAAAAGCTAGACGATTTCCATTTTTTAATAAATATATTTTATTAATTAAAATATAGAAGAATTCAAGAAAATATTTTAAAATTTAAATAAAATGTTGCAAAATTTATAAATATTCCTTATACCTTCGTGTGGGGCATATTACCTTTGGTATGAAGTTTGTAACCACTTGAGAAATTCGTCTGCATCATAGACATGTATATAATATATTCTTGCTAAGCAAACAGCAAACTATTCTTACTAAGCAAAAATCAATATAAAATTCTACATTGATTTAAACATATCAACGTCCATCCGACCGAAAGATAACTCAACAAAGAACAATGCAATCAATACCAAATTTTCATAAGTTATTTCTTTTCTGAAAAGGACGGCTATTATTGTAATTGCAGCAATTCGGAGAACTGGTTCGGATAGCTGCCATACAACTCAAAGTGGCTATTTTAAATATTTAACAAAGATCTAAACTAATAAGTATCTTAATTCAAAATTTTGTAAGGGTGTGTCCAATTACATTCTACGCATATATTCTAAAATTATATGTATTGGCTCGAGTAGCTGCCAAACAATTCCAAAAACTAATTCAAAATAGTAGGTTAGATAAATGAAACATGGTAGTCGTGTGCCCAATTAAAGGTCAGATATATCCGTGAAGTTTCTATGGATTTGTTTTGCAGGCTCGAGAAATTGCTATACAATAATGAAAGATGCAGGGTAGAATTCAATAGGTTTACACCTACTGGAACGTTTTTATTTATTTTATAACCAATGTAATGAATCCAATCTCGATACATTTTTGAAATGCGGCAAGAGCAATTTCATGTCATACATTTGTGTCGTACGGCCACAAAAATTTATAAATTTTTTAAACATCTTACTTTGGGTATCGTCCGTTCTAATTTGGTGAAAATGGCAGAACTATTTTGAAGAACTAGAAATATTATAATTGACCTAAAATTCATAGTTTCATACGCCCTACAAGACAAAGATATACTGAGTACACAAAAAAAAAATATCTCAGTAATGTTTCGGTCCCTATAATGGATTTATTCTTAATATTATAGTTAAATCGATATCGCTAACTTTTTTAAATCAAACCAACATTTTTTCAGTGATTGGAAACTTGAAAAAAAAACCTTGCAATTTTAATATTCTCCATAATCCACTTCCTGTTAGCATGAAAACATTTTTTTTATTCAATTTAATATTCCTATATATTGTACCTTTTTATTAAAATCATCTATCAATCATTCAATATAATATTATTATAAAATTGTAATGTGTCTATAATCTTATATATAGTATAAGAGTAAGTGATGATAATAATAGGTATTTTGTTAAGTTGTAAACTTAATGCAATCAATTTAACTTAAAAATCTTATAAAATCTACTTTTCATGTTTATATCAAACCTATATCAAATTTCACATTAAAATTCATTTTTCATTATTGTATTATTATGTACATGTATATTTTAAATATATAAAGCGATAATTGCAATATCTTTAAAATTTAACACACACATTTCAAAAGATATTTTTTTTATGTATATGGGCACTCTTTATTAAAACCACTTTAATTTAAAATTAAACTACTACATGATAATATTATGCATTTAAAAAATATGTTGCTTGGTTTATAAAAATATATATAGTTAATATTAAAAAAGAAAAGCAAAAACAAAAATTTTAAAATTACAGGACAAAATTAATGTTCTGTGTCTAATTTATGTTTAATTTTAAACAATACACGTACTAAACCACCAAAACTCCATTATTTAAGATTATTTAAATAAAATACATATAGTATATAGTTAAATTTCGTGTTCAATATAACAGAAATGATTTTATATAATATTATTGTAAGGATTGATTAAACATGCAATTTTTGGTGGATAAAATAATAATATTAACGTGTTCGAAAGATATAAAATGTAACACAAATTAACGGAAATAATATAGCAACAACATTAAAATAAAATAAAAGGATATTTCGATAGGATATTAAACTGTATGTATTCAATGAGGATAATATTATTGAAAAATAACATATTGTGTATAATATTATAAATGGTTTTTTGTATAATATATGTGATATACAAATGACATACGCTTCAAATATCCGAACAACATGTAACTAAAAATGATATTTTGTTGAAAAGTGCACGTATAATAATATAGCAAATTTTGCACTATTTGCAATATTATTCCATGTATTCAGTCATTGAAACTTATTATAATTCCTATGTATGTATATAATAATATAATTATTATGAAATTCATTTAGTGAGAATCAATTTTTGCAAAAATGTACTTAATATATTTTATATGAAATATTTTTTTTATGGTGTTGAATTTAAATGGAAAAATCTGAATTCTATGCGGGAGTGATGTCATACATACGAATACATAAAATGTATTAATTCTATGAATCCGGTAATGAATTTTTAGAATTTAATATTATTACAAATATATATAGAGTATTTGCTATTTTCATTTATTTTCTCTGATATTTGCCTATTAATGTATTTATGTTAATGGTTTGTTTAAAGCCGATTTTGTTCTTAATGTTTTTGTTTTGTATCCTGTTGGGAATTTGTATTTGTGTTTTGTTTGTTCT